ATTTAAAGAGCATATGACACGAAAACAGTTTTTTGTCCAGTGAAAGAACGTTATTTGAAAACCCTAAATCTAAAATATTTTTCAATTCTGATAAAAACCTGTCAAGTTACAGCTATTTGAAATTAGCAATTTTCCTCTGATTTTTGTCCCATTTTGGGGGACTGGATACTAGCGTTGTGACGTCATTTTGTTGGCTTAGTATTTCTGCACTCCACAATCTTCTCTTTGCGCCAGTAAAACCTCTTTCGAATATATCGGACTGTGAGTCAGAAACTAGCGCGTTATTATGCAATACCGATGTGGATATAGAATAGTCAGAATCAGACGAAATTATGGCGATTCAGGATAAAAAAAGATAGCTAAAATAATGATCGACACAGAATCGCGGCCGTATGTCAGACCAGCATAAAAAAACCTTATGACTTATATAAACAAACTCTTGCTCGAAGAGAAGTGTATAAAACGAGAAAAAAAAAGTATGCGTACGCAAACTCTTGTCTCAAAAGATGTAAACAAAGAAACAGTAAAAAAAAAGAGAGTCTAGCGGCGAACAGAACATGAACAGAAAATCGTTGTTGTTTAGAAGCTTAAACTGTTCAAGGGAAATTAGTTTTCGATGGGTGTATAGAACCTCAATTCTGTAAACCAAAAAAAGGACTGTATTTGAAAATGCTGCGTATTGACTCAAATTCACGAATTGTTACTAAAAAAAAAAAAATGTCTGCTTTAATACAATGAACCCGGCGACGCCAGCCCGTGTTTACACTAAAAAAATTTAGTAGCTTGAACACGATCGGATTTTGAAACGCTAAAAAATTAAAGGGTATAAAAAAATGTAGTTATAAATTAACTATGGTTATAATAATTGTATAACTAGATTCAATAGCAAAAAAATAAAACATTCTTCTTTAAAATGTGCCGAGCACAACGATATGATTTTCTTTTTCAAAAAAAAAAGTCCGCTTTGTGTAAACGGACGAGCTTTGTCCATTTTTCACGTAATCCTGAAAAAAATGGWAATGRAAACATTGATATATCTGCAGTATAACTGTTATTTTTGCAGCTAATGTTGTTTCTATATCCTGCCACGCAATATCTGCCTTTGTATCTACGATTTTTGAGAGTGGAAAAAAACGCTTCGGCCGCCATCTTTGCATGTAACAGATCGCGAACCAACAAAATGACGTCATATGACGCGTTTGGCCGAGCGGAAAAAGAGGACAAATTTTGGGTGAAAAATCACAACTAAAAAAACTCATAACTTTGCGGCTTTTTATCAVATTTTTTTAAAACCCGAGATTTGAGGTAAAAAAATAGCGTTCTTTCAATGGACAAAAAACTGTTTTCATGTCATATGCTCTTTAAGAAAAAAAATTTTTTTAAAACTATACATTTACAAGTTCACATACATGTAAGGAACTATGACTAAAAAAATGGAATTGTGATAATCCAAAAACTTATTTTCATAAATCTGATAAATGGATTCCAAAAAAATCCCAAATTACAATTTCACTGTGTCGATCATAATTCCTTACAAATTTATTCACAAAAAAACGGTCCACCATTTCATCATGAATTTACATATATCAATAATTATATGTTTTGAAAACGTAACATAGATCGATGCTGCACTATGGAAKCCCTTTGGAAACCCCAATGATAATTATAAAAAAATTTCACAATTCTTTCCTGTCAATCGATTCATCTTACACTTGCATTGGTAGTCTTGTCTGTCGTCCTTTAGATTACACTGACCTCCATTTTGACATGGTTTGGCCTCGCAGGGGTTCTGATAGAAAAAAGGAAATTATTCAAATCGTTAGTCTAAGTGACAACACTTTATATGGATGTCAAATGTTCCATCAAACGTTTATGGTCGAAAAAGCTCCAAAATCAACAAATAAACAAAAAAAAACTATGAGTCAATAATWRATCACCATGCTGATGTCTTACCATTTCTCCATAGAAAAAAAAATCAGCTTGAACTTGCTCTTTGGTTTTTGCTCTTTTTCCATTCAAATAACAGTAAAAAAAYGCTTCATTGAAGTTGAACGACTTGCACTGGTCACCAATCAGGCAGAGAGCACAATCAAAGACATCAGTAGCTTTCCTTTTGTGGAATGTTTGGCCAACAAGCTTGTGGTCATAAAAAAAGACGATGAGTGAGGATCGATAATGGTCATTTCCAAAATCATTTGACATAACCCAAAAAAAGCTTGATTGCACCATAAAGAATAAGAGTATTATTTCGTAAAACATCTTGTCCTAAAAAAATGGAAAAACTTTGAATATTTTAAGTTGCAAATTAAACTGATGTTTTCCATTATAAAAAAAAATAATACTTTTGCAACATTTTCATGGATTTATACCCAATAAAAATCAATCATAAAAAAAAAATCAAACCATTGCCTAGTGATTATTTTTAKACATGTCTTATGACATCATGAAAAAAAATTGACTGGCTAGGCAGTTTGGAAACGCTGCAATGTCTTCACAGTTACCTGTTCAAAAAAAGGATACAATTTCCATATCGCAAATATCCAAAAAAAACTCAGCAGTTTTGCAAGAAAAAAAGTACAAAGAAATGAAATTAAAGAAATTCGTTTTAGTTCACCCTTTTTTCGTTAAAAAAAATTACTTTTCAAATCCTTATCATCCAATCAAATTTCGCGTGCAGACTGAATATAAAAAAAATATTGTGTACTAATTTTTGACGATTCCGTATACTGACTTAGTTGTGCCCCCACAAAAAAACTACATGGAATAGAATGAAAACAAMGTAAGGAATACATACAACACTGATTTGAAAAAAAAAAGAATAGGCCAAGAAACTGCAAAGTAGGTAAATGACACATGACGTAATTATAGAACATATGTTTTTCAAATAATATAACCTGTCTACGACAGTAAACACTAAAAACAATTGTAAAAAAAACATAAAATATTGGTATTAAACATTATTTCAAAAATGAAGTAAGGAAGATTAGAAAAAAAACGTGTAGCTCTTTTTAAATTGAAAATCAAAACGTCAATAAACCTGAAAATAAAAAAAAATATTGTCCATAATTTCGAAATTTATCTATCTGGCGTTAGCCATCTTTAAAAAAAAAAAAACTTTTTTCAAAAAAAGTCATGAATATAAAATTTGACTGGGCGTTTTCAAAACAAAAAAAAACTTTTGGACTTTTTTAGTAACTTTCAATGATGTTTGGCTTGAAAATACCCCATCATGGTTATTACAATGGCATCACCGCAATATTGAATGAGTAGGCATGAAAAATGAATTGAAAAAAAGTATCTATATCTAGCGGATCTTTTGGATTTTTTTACGCTAAAATGCTATTGAAAAAAAAAGATTCTCGCATGGCACATCATTCAAGTCTGAAAAATTTGAAAAGCCGAACAGAAAAAAAATGAGAGAACGACAAACATGAACAAAATATAGTTTTAATCTCAACCCTTATATAAAAAAAATATATATAATATGTATAAAATGAAATTCACCGCTCAATAATTCGACAATTAAACATGTACCATCTGCTGAAAATAGCAAAGATGTGAAATAACTATTGACGTGTATAGCTAGCAAAAAAAAGGTATTACAACGAACTATATTGAGCTGAGCAGTTTGATACTTTTTTTCTTTTAAAAAAAAATTAATGTGCGAAAAGAAAGAAAAGAGAAAGAGAAAAATCACATGTAGTCCCAAAAAAAGATTCGAATCGAGACCATCGCGGTCTGTGACCAGCAATAGTATTTTTGTGGCTAGTGACTCGGAACGAGGCTCGAACCACTATGCTATCGYYTTGTAAGTAATTGGAATATCAAAAAAAATAGCTTTCATGGTATTGCCCACTTTTTCTACGATRCGTTTTCCGTTAACCTCGAAAAAAACTGTTATTTCTGRATTTCTTGTGTAATGCGTCATTTTCATGTGTATTTTTTATCTTCAACCGACGAACATTTTCAATCTATTGTCTATACATAGTGGCGGATCCACAATCCAAAAAAAAACTGCAAAAATGTTTTGTTATATTAACAAATAACAGAAATCGTTCAATCCAATGAAAAAAACTACAATGAGTCTCTATCATTTTAATTCCATGTGTACTCGATCTTTGTTCTTGAAAAAAACTTTCTTGTGTCAAAATTTCGATTGATCCCCWTCCACATGACAAAAGTAGTGAAAAAAAAGGTTGGTTTCCTGACCTCGTGTTAYAGCTTAATTTTGCGTCCAAATGAAAGTGAAAAAAAAACGACACTTGCCAAAGAAAGGCTTTTACTCGAAATACATGAGCTTGATTGCGAATTTAAAGTGTCACACACAAAAATGCCCAAAATACACAAAATTCATTTATTTAATTTAAGTATGTATAAGAAAAAATATATAGTGATGWAAAAAAWATAKATATATATRWAAAAAATGTAAAAAAAWTTGAAAAAGCAAATAAAGATATTMAAATGATATTAAAATATGCGCAGTGCAAAATGACTTTATGCTTTGTGAACAGTAATGAAGGAAATCACATTTCATGTCCAAACAGTGCAAAAAAAACCTTGAAACTCTCTAGGCACAAYAGAAAAAGGTATTTGATGACTCTTTGGTAAAAAAAAAGTCTTCAGAATAGTGTATTTACTTTGATGAACTGAAGAACTAGCTAGACGTCAAAAAAAATGAAATGACTCCTATGTCAAAAATAAGCATTTTAGTCTATGTAATATAATGCAAAAAAAAAACATTTGACCAAGGAAAACTTACTATCAGTCGGAATGGCATTANTTATAGTAAGAGTACTTCACCTTAAATATATTCCTACGATTATGAAAAAATATTCCACGCCCTGGAGTAATTTGAATATTTTCGCTAGAACAAAATAATTGGCCAATTAAACTAGACAACGTTTGTTGGGATGTTCTACCCGACCGGTAGAAGGAATAGTTTCAAGAAATATGTCGCAATTACTTTTGATTTTTACAGACATTCATTCTTAAAAGTTTATATGTTTTTAACTTTTTCAAATTTGTTGTGTTTTCATAGATTTCTAGTAAAACAATTAAAACTAATATTCCACTTAGCTGACTAGRTTAAGTTCTGGTTTKCTTCCTAGCACTATCTACATGCMGTCCTAGACTACGTACTTTTTAATACAACAGTCTTTGGAAAAGTAGACAGCAGGATTCAGGATAAATTACTTTATCGTGAGTTCAACAAACAAAACAATCAAAAGATCTCATATGCTATGTTCTTAAAGTGGCATTTATTGTCTTATTGAATTTTTAGTGTTCATTTGTACCCCACTGTCGCAAACACACTAAAAGAATACGCAGTTTAGGGCTACATGTGGCTAGTGCTAGCAAGCAATATAGAAATTAATAGTAATTTAAGGGAAATAACAGTTTCATCTGCTTACAAGAAATCTATGATAACAAAAAACATAAAAAAAGTTGAAGGCTTTAAAATTACAAAAAAAAACTCTCACTTTAAGCATTAAAAAACAAAAGAAGCTAAATCATCGGTTTGAAGACAGCTTAATTGATTATCTTCACGTGAGCAGTAAGTAAATGAAAACGTTAAGTCAAAAAAATGTTGTTGTTTTTTTTCAAATATATTTCTGGAGGAAGCTTAAGTATGTAGAAAGTTAAGAGCTTTTTTCTCTTAGGATYTTAGGAGAAATATATCTTATCGTTAAATGTCCACCTCAAAATCGTCATCCTCAAAAATATCACTTTCAGTGTCCGAAGCAACACTAAAGTATCCTCAAAAATCGTCAAAAAGTTAAAAATCCGCAACATTTCCCATATTTAAGTTGAGCCCGTAATAAGCTTTAATAAATGAAAGTTTTTGTCTATTATAGGCAAGGTGATGAACTTCATACCTAATCTTTAGGTCGCAACAACACCTTTTTATTTTCACATCAAAAAGCTCAAGAGCATTTTCCATTAAGTTAAACCCGTCATAAGCTCACACAGAGTAACGTTTTATATGTTCATCTGTTGTAGGCAAGATGATTAACTTCATACTGGTCATATTCTTGATGCTGAAATCAAGTTGTATCATGTCATCGGATATTCCAAATGAAGATCAGCGGTCCTCACTYATCATCACAAGCGATGACCACAAGCTTGTTGGCCAAACCATCCACAAAAGGAAAGCTACTGATGTCTTTGATTGTGCTCTCTGCCTGATTGGTGACCAGTGCAAGTCGTTTAACTTCAATGAAGCGACTGGAGATTGTTATTTGAACGGAAGAAGRGCAAAAGATAWGGAGCTTGTGCAAGAGCATGGTTTCATCTATGGAGAGAAGGTTAAGTAAGATTTGTAGTCTTTTAACGTGCTAGGGAGTTTCCAKTGACAACAACAATTGACAGCAAATTCTTTTATCAGGCAAACTATGTATCAAGGTATATACGAACCAGTAGACAATTTTTACAAAATATTCTTCTGTAAAAGCCTCTTTAGTATAAAATTGACTTTTTATTTTGGTTTTAAAAATACTTGCGTTGTCTAATTAATACAGCCTTTTGCAAAAATTATGAGAATTGCCTAAATATCTAAATATCATAATATCCATATCCATATATTGTCCGGGACACGCGTGTTTGCTAGAATAATTCATTGTTGACATCGAGAAAATGTTCAGAACTACGGATAAGTCTGTCACCAAAAAAAACTAAACTACAAAGACAACGGGACTAAGGGCATCGCGCGGGATTACCCATCATTCACTCGATATTATGATATTTAGATATTTCGACAATTCTCATAATTTTTGCAAAAGGCTGTAAACAGACAAATATAGGAATATGGTGTCATTAATTAGACATTTGTGATACTATTTTTTCTCCTACAACATTTTGCTTTAATTCATCACTTCAGACTCCTTCCACCTTAAAATTTGGAACAAACCATGGTTGCGCAGCAGAGTTTATATATCTGGTCATTAACTAGTTAATCAGTACTTCAATTCTTCTGAGCGAAAAGTATGCCTTGTTGGGTAACACTGAAATAAAAAAAAAGCCA